AACTTCAATTATTTAAAAACTCAATAAACATGAAAAAAGTATTAAAAGATAACAAAGCTCTCGTTGAAGTTATTTTAGTGTGATGTTGTCTTCATTATTTACTAGTAATGTCAGCAATTCTACAATTACTCATTACACAAATCACAGAGTAATCACCAAACAAAACCCTTATACAAGCAACGGACCCCATTTCACTCCATATCTCTAGATCTCTTTCACTCTTCGTCTTCATCCAAAACTCTTCTCCCAAATATTTCAATGTATTCTATAATTCTTCATTGTTTTATTTCTAAACAAATCCATCACATCAGTATCCATAACCCTATTTTTATATTTTATTTTTTTAACTAATCACATATATACAGGAAGAACCTAAACCAGTAAACACAGAATGAAGGTGTAATTACAACTACCACTGGAACACCAAATGATATCACTGGAAATCTCAAAACCCAAACCAATACCAATTCCAAACACAAAAATGCATCAAAATAAACAATTGTCTTACAAGTTTAGAATGTACCATTTTAAAAATCTCACCTTTAGGAATCAAAGCATTGTCTTTAACCTTCACGGGCGAAGCATTGGTGCTACCACGTGCTCGACCTCCTCAGCAGTGGGTTTCACGCACGAACTTTTTTTCGAACGACTGGCTTTGAGACCTTTTAAGGCTCTCGCCAATGCAAGACGGGTTTGGGAGTTTTCTTGAGGTTTGAGACAGTAATCACAAATTTCACTCAGTTTATTCCAGAGATGGGAAAAAAGACGGAGAAGGATGGGAACACTTACCACTGGCCGAGAACGATGGCGGAATGGACGATCATCCACAACGGTAGCAGGACTCCGATAGCTCACATGCACTGAACGAAGAAGCACTTTCACTAACCGACCCTCTGTGAAGGAAGAGATGTGCACACTAGGGTTGCGGATTTCTAAGTGCTCTGGCTTATGTCAATCGAAATCACCCTCCAAAATGTTTAATTTGATTTCCTGAACGGCTTCCTAAATCCTTCGCTAATGACCGCTGACCATATCATTGCTTTTACTGGTGGCCCAAATCGTTCGCTAATGTTACAGTCCAAGATCCGTCGGAACATCCTTCGGTAAAATAACATTACCGGTGGAACAATGTCCTTCGGTAAATATCCGCCGGAAATTTCAGGATATGTTGTAGTGAGTCAAAGTGGGAAGGTAAGGACTATCCAGGCTTAATAAAGGAACAAGGTCGGGAAATGGAGTTGTTGTTGAGCCGGTACAGGGGAGTGTTTGCTGACCCAGTGGGGTTACCTCCTGACCACGGCATGTTGCATCACATACATCTTAAAGAGGGCATAGATCCTGTCAATGTCAAGCCCTACAGGTACCCTTATGTGATGAAGGGGGGATATAGCAGCAAGTCACGGAGATGCTAAAAACAGGGGTAATTTGATAGAGCCACAGCCCTTACTCGAGTCCTGACATCTTGGTGAAGAAAAAAGATGGCAGTTGAAGGTTTTGCATCGACTATAAGGCGTTGAATCGTGCCAAGATGGCAGTTGAAGGTTTTACCAGTGCTTGAGGAGCTATTGGATGAGTTGAAGGGGGATTGCTATTTTTCGAAGATTGATTTGAAAGCGGGTTATCACCAAATCCGCATGGGAGAGAAAGACATCGAGAAGACGACCTTTAGAACTCACCAGGGGCACTATTAATTTATGGTAATGCCCTTCAGCCTCACGAACGCTCCTGCCACGTTCCAAAATGCCATGAACAACCTCTTCCAGCCCAACCTAAGGAAATACATTTTGGTGTTCTTTGACAACATATTGGTTTACCGTAAAAAGTGGAGAGAGCACCTCGAACATGTTGCGGAGGTGTTGTCATCTTTAGAGCAGAATAATTGGGTGGCAAACAAGAAGAAATGTGAATTGGGGCAGACTCAAATTAAGTACTTGGGTCATACTATATAAAACAAGGGGGTAGAAATGGATCCCAAGAAAGTGAGAGTTGTGATTGAATGGAGCAGACCGAAAACGGTAAAAGGAGTGAGGGGTTTTTTGGGTTTGACTGGTTACTATAGGAGGTTTGTCAAGGACTATGGGAAGATTGCCAAGCCCCTGACAGAGTTATTGAAGAAAGGAGAGTTAGTATGGAATGAAAAAGCGGAAGAAGCCTTGCAGAAACTGAAGAATGCTATCACGGCAACTCCTGTGCTATCTCTGTCAGACTTCCAGCAACCTTTTCACATAAAGTGTGATGCCTCTGGGGGTGTAAGGGCGGTATTGACTTAGGGGAGAAGACCGATTCCCTATTTTAGTAAGGCATTATCAGTAGGGACGTTGAGCAAATCCATTTATGAGAAAGAACTGATGGCTTTGGTATTAGCCATACAACATTGGAGGCCTTACTTGTTGGGGCAGAGATTTGTTGTGCATATCGATCAGAGGAGCCTTCGCTACTTGTTAAAGCAGCATATCACTACTCAAAACCAACGAAATTGGATTGCAAAGCTGTTGGGGTATGATTTTGAGATAGTTTACAAAGCAGGGGTTACCAATAAAGTCGCGAATGCTCTGTCTAGGAGGGCTGATGGGGATAATGAGAAAGAAAAATAATTGAGAGTGATGACCAAGTCATATTGGCAGGACTTTGGAGAAATCTTAAAAGAGGTGGAGGAGGATGACACCTTGCGGAAGGTGATAGAGGACCTTAGAAGAGATCCGAATACCCATCCAGCGTATACCCTTGAACAGGAAAGGTTGCACTATAAAGGGAGGTTGGTGTTGTCGGCCAACTCCACATGGATTCCTAGGTTGCTAGCAGAGTTCCATGTTACGCAGACGAGGGGACAATCGAGCGTATATAAACATATCGGAGATTGGCGCAATCCTTGTATTGGATCGACATGAAGAAGAGGGTAACCGAATATGTCGCGGGGTGCTTGGTGTGCCAGCAGCACAAATACTTATCTTCTTCTCCTCAAGGACTGCTGCAACCGTTGCTAATTCCGAATGCCATTTGGGAAGAGTTGAGCATGGAATTTTTAGTAAGGTTTCCCACATCACAAGGATACGATGCTATACTCGTGGTCGTAGATCGTCTTAGTAAATACGAGCATTTTCTGCTACTTAAGTATCCTTATTCGACCAGAATGATAGCAGAACTATTCATCAAGGAGGTTTTTAGGCTGCATGGCATTCTGAAATCTATCGTGAGTGATCGGGACCCCCTTTTCCTAAGCATTTTCTGGCAGGAATTATTTAAGGGCAAGGGACTCAGTTGAAAATGAGTACCACATATCATCCGGAGTCAAATGGACAAACAAAGGTTTAAAACTATGTATTGGAGGGATATCTTCGGTGCTTCTGATCTGAACAACCGAAAGGATAGATGACAGTTTTACCCTGGGCTGAGTATTGGTACAATACCAGCTATCAGGGAGCAATCAGGTGCACCCCATTTGAGACTGTTTATGGTGGCCACCTCCATCCTTGCAAAGATTTATATCGGGAGAATCACTAGTGGAAGCAGTGAGCCAAGAGTTGCAGACCCGAAATGAGCCTTTGAGACAGATGAAGTTCCATTTAGAGCGGGCACAAGAGTTAATGGTAAAACAAGCCAACAAGGGAAGGAGACCTGCGAATGTCAAAGTAGGTGATTGGGTCTACTTGAAGATAAGACCCCATCGACAATCTTCCATGCCAACTAGACTTCACCAGAAGTTAGCAGCCAGTTATTTTGGACCGTTTCAGGTGATTCAGCAAGTGGGAGAGGTAGCCTATAAGCTTCAATTACGCGAGACTGAACGCATCTTATCTTTCATGTATCACAATTAAAGAAGACAATTCCAGATTTGCAGACTGATGGACCCTCATTTTGACCAGTTAAGGTGTTGGGAAGGAGATTAACGCAGAAAGGAGAAGAGAAAGTACCACAATTGTTGATAGAATGACAGGAAAGAGGACAAGATGGGACGACATGGGAAGAAAAAGTTGTTATCTAGGAACAGTACCCCGATTTCAACCTTGGAGACAAGGTTGAACTTCAGGCAGAGGACAATGATAAGAATGAGAAGAGATGAGAAGGAAGAGAATTATATAACTGCTTATTATAGTTAGGAAGGGCAGGAATGACAGTTGTATAAAGGGTTGGGTGTTTAGTAGGAAAGGGACTTTTTGATAGTTGAAGTGTTAACTAGCTTTGTCCTGTGAAAGGGACTAAGCCCTTGTATCTATAAGTGTACACACCATTCTTTTGTGAATAACACAGTTTTGTTTCCATTGTATCTGTAAGTGTACACACCATTCTTTTGTGAGTATACACAATTTTGTTTCCATTCGTGCTATCTTTCTGTTCTGTGAGACGTTTTAGAGAGTTCTTTATTAGATTTCTTAATCAGAAACCTATCACTTACACTTCTTGACGCTTATAAACAGCAACGATATATATAATAAATTTCACACACTTACACTTCTTGACGCTTATAAACAGCAACGATATATATAATAAATTTCACACAATGTCATATTGTTCAAAAAATAATCCTGACTTAATTTGATATGTAAAAATAGTTTATTGATAACAGGGGAATACTCTACATTATGTAGTGGATGGACATTATGAATGATGTGATGAATTATGTAATTAATACGTTGTTTGATTTAAAACGTGTCTAAATATCACATGACACAACATAAGAACAAAACTGAACATCACTGTGACCACAGCTATCAGCAACTATGCTTCGTTAAAGGACAACAATAGGAACATACCATCTGTACTTAACAAGCCAACTGTCATTTTCACTAATTTGATATAATTTCTCACTTTCTATGACATCATATGCTTTTCATTATTTTAAGTGATTCTTCCTTTTGTATTTAGTTGTAATATAATAATCATTAATTTTTTTGTAAGATAAACAAACACAAGATTCAATTCAAAACATGTGGCAAAAATTAGGCTGCTCTTCATATTTATATAATTACCATACATTTCTCACTGCATAATACTCAAGCAAATGACAACACAACTAGGCATTTTCCTTTCATTCCTCAACCTATTCCAAACGGAGGGATTATAACAACTGTTTTAATATAGGAAAAACCCATCACACATTATACTTATTATTTATTTACAGATTTTATGCATCACTGCATTCCTATCTACATTATTAATCCATACATACCAAGGAGAACTACACTAAGTACAAAAGAAGCAATCATGTCAATGGTGTGAACCTTTGACCATTCCATGTTCGGAAATGACGCTTGGAGAGTCCAATAAAGTAACCTTCTTCAACCGGTACTGCTGAAACCTCTGCCTTGCATACTCCTTGTAGTCAAAGTCAATTGTGTTGACATAACTCTACAGCACACATAGCAACACACTAAGCAAACACAAGTATCTTTGGTATCTTTGGAGTAACCAGAAAGAAGAATAAAAAGGGTAATACATTTTTTGCGTCTCAAATTTTGGTTCTAGTCACTACAACTTTAATACATTTTAATGACCTTTGTAACAACAATAAAGTTGCACATTTAATTCTCATTCATCAAAAGTGATTAGTCCCTACATTTATAAGTCACATCGATTTGTTCATAGTTAGAGACTAAATTTTACTGAAATTTGACATAAGGGATGAAAACATGTTTCGAAGGAAAAGCATAGCATACCGAAATAAGTCCCCATAAGCCCCAAAATAGATGGTTGGCAAGAGTGTATTTTTCTGCAAGATTAACTAGCTGTTCCACTTCACTGCTGCTTGGTTCCTTACCTGTATAAGTTTTCAAATAAAGTTGGTAAAAAATTCTTAAATTACATTCACATTGAAGTTGAAGAGATAAGGGAGACTTGCATCGTGCCTACGAATAAGTTAAACAAATGCATGCAATGCATGCTCCACATCTGCAAGGACAGACTTATCAATAATGTAAACGTTGTTACAGTTCATACTTATGACAAACATGATTTTCCCTGTTGTATTTCAAGAGTTTATTATTTTCACTAGTCTAAGGAATTTTACAATGGCAACCAATTAAAAATAATTTTAGTTGTGACTTTTAGAAGTAATTTTAACAAAAGTAAATAATTTCTAATTTGAAGTAATATAAAATTGGATATTCAACTTAAAACAAGCTTTATACTTTATTTTAATTACAATCAAAGTATAGAAACTAAAAACATAAGATTGAGTGATATCAGAGGTCAACCAAATTGTAGAGAAAGTTAATTCTTTCAGCTGAGAATAGATCAATAGCAGTTACCTAAATCCAGATCTCTGCCAATAATATGTATTTTTTGTGGTATGTTGGAGTAAAAATTTAGTGGACTAACCTTCAGAACTCAAATAATTATAAACAAACCTTTGACGCTCTTCAAGACCTGTTATACCATTTATCGTGTCAGAAGAGTGATCTCAATAAAATAAGTATTATTAGGAAGCAAATGAAGCAGTGTAAAATGTAATGGAGGCTGTAAAATATATCAAGTATTAACTTACCGGGATATTTAGTGTAGTCAAGAACATGAGGTTGGTCACTGTGATAGTTTGCCACCATTTCACAGAAATGATTTGCTAGATCGTATGCAACAGGGTTGTAACTGGCATATTCGTAGTCCTGTGTCATTGAAAAACAAATAGGAATGAAAAAATCATCATAAAAACGATATGACAGATGTAATATGAAAAAACAATATTCAGTTGCAATTCTTATATTTTTTTTTGACCTAGAGGTACTAGTACTTCTTATTTGACACCTAATTAATCCCTATTCGATTGGCGCATTTTGGAGTAAAGTGGTATCACCAGTTACCATTTCATGGAAGTTAGAAAACAAGTTTTTAAAAGTTAGCAAAGTAGCTAATATCTTACATTGCCATAATTTTTAAAAAGAACACCAACAAAGCCAATAAAATAGAATAAATAACTAAAATGCAGCAATAAAGCTTACAATTAAAGTGATTGCCCTTGTATCTTCATCCATCATTATGTTACCATATTGTAGATCATTGTGACAAAAACCAATCTCTTGATATCCTTGTGATAGCAACTCCACAAGCATATTTATTTCAGTATCTAGATGTTCCAGGCCAAAATTCTTAATATCTTTTGGAGAGCACAGACTTTTGGCATGACTATGCCATTTCCTGATTGAACATAGAGAGCATATATAATTGTGTATAACAATATAAATTTTTTTTTAAAAGTAGCCTGATATCTATTATTTAATTACCTCAATCGCTGCCAAAGCTGTGCCTTCTTTGTACCAGGCATGTGAAGATTGTGAAACTCTCTCATCTTAGATGCTACCAAAGCAGATATTTGAGGGTCACGGAGGTCCGCAGCTGAGAGTGTCTAAAAATCCAAAAATAGGAAAAGAAAAAGCATGTTACACACAATCACCATGGTCTGCTAAATTGGTTTTAGTGCACAGGAAAATAAGAGGAATGTATTGCAGGTATTTGAATTATATCAGGTCACTTACATAATCTATGTCATGAGAGAAAATCACAAAAAATTTACTGTAGGACCCTTTACAAACCACTATTTGTGAATGGTCCAGAAATTTTACTTCTGTGCAATTTTCACTTACCCAAATGGCTTAGTAATGTTGGTAACACTAGAAAATCGAAGTACGCATGGAATCACTACCTGTTACCTTAATGAATGATATCAGCTGATTAAAGATATTGATAAAATCACATGAAATCATTAGAAAAACGTCTATTCTGGCACCATAACTGAGTTCTTCCACCATAACTCATGTAATTGAACTATTCAAAATCAACAGCATTTAGTCTTGAATAATTTTTCTTTTGCATTGTATATAAATTCTTTCACTCTTTAAACATAACACAAAGCAAGCATCGTGAAGAAGCTTCTTTTTTATTCTAAAGAACTAATAGGAAATGCTAACACCCTCCATTCGTCCAAAGGAAAAGAGAATAAAATACAAAAGCTAACAACCAAGGCCAAAGAAAAGCTTTTTAAATGGAACAATAAAGCACATTGGAAAAGGAAAGGTGACTTTAATTTAAGTATATATTCCCCAAGTCATGGAAACCATCAATTTTTAAATGCAGTCATTGCAATCACTTTTCTTTTGTTATAACCAGATAATTATCTACACAGCACCTAATAAGAAATAATAAAAATAATTATACTTTCAACCAATAAGAAATCATTAATATAACTTTTGAAACAATTATTGTAAAAACCAACAAATTTAGAATATCACTTTTTACACTGTAAGTATATGTACTATTTACACTTAAACAGTCTCTTATAAAATCAAATACCAAAATAAAGATTATATAAAAACGTCTCTAAAATAAGTATTGCTAATAATATTAGGAATTAAAACAGAGATTTACACTAAAACTATCAAATCACCAGAGGTAAACACAATAAGATAATAACATACTTTGGCATGAATGAACTCTTCAACTCTGCCAGTGGTGAACCGTCCAAGAAGGCGTGGACCCTGTCCATGCTTTGACATGGATTCGAAGGTTTGGATTTCATCAACCCTGTTGAAGAAAACCTCAATACCTTCACCATATAATCGAACCAGAACCTTTCTCAGATGACCATCACTTTTGGTTGGCCAATTTACCTCAAAAACCTCATTGGTCATTGCTCCTTTTAGAGGTTTTACCAGCAAAGAGTTCAGATCATCTATTACATCTCCCAAATCTGCAGCCACTGCTGCAAGAACCTCCATTATCTCTTCATGGTTTTCACCGCCTTTCAACAATTCAATTGCCTTTATGGCCATCCTTGATCAAAGTTCAGTTAAAAACAGAGCTCTGCTAGTGGAGAAAAAACAGGGGAAATTGAAACAGAGAGTTAAGTTCTTCCATCCATTGCAATATTGAGAGACTTGAATGAATACCTTGATAATCGAATTGGGAGAAAACAAAGAACTGATGATCCTGAGTGAAAATTAACCACTTTTGATGCAAAATATATTTATTTAGGGAGTTAAAATTCTACCAAAGTTCCTCCATACCATGCAATAAAACAGAAACATGAAGAAGCAGAAAACCTCGATAACCCAATTGGGAGAAAGCATTTCATAATTGATTATCCTAGGTGAAAGTCCACCGTTTTAGGTAAAAAATTTTGATAAGGGGATTTAGAAATTCACCCAAGTTTTTCACTTCATGCAAGACATGCAGAAACACATGGAGAAAGCAGAAAACCTTGCTGACCCAGTAGGAGAAAAAATCATAAGTGATGACCTGGCTTGAAAGTTCACCTTTTTCGTATAGAATTAGGGTTTTAAAATCCATTTAAGAAACAGGGAAGTCAGAGAAAGTTGACTGGTAGAAACATGACGAACACGAAAAAGGGATTCAAGAACCCTCCCACTGTAAAAAATAATCAGATCTAAGAAAAACACAAAACCCATTTGGGATGCACAGCGGAATCGGGTTACAGGATCTTACCAGATAAACAGAGAAATTCGGAGCTTCCAAACAGAGCAAGCTTCGGCACGGAAAATTCGTTGCAGTGATCAAAGCTGAGAGACGTGCAGCAAAGGAAAAACCCAATAAACTCAAAGAATGAAAACCGACTCAGAATAATCAGAAGTAAAACCTCAAAATGATGAATCATGAACTCACCTTGGAAGCAGATAAGATTGCCGAAGAAAATCAAGCCCAACAAAGAGAAACCTAAGCATAAAATATTGCATAAAGAAAATAACAAAATCCTCAAAACCCAAATGCAGAAAGACCAAAACAGAAAATCAAAAGCCCAAATAAAGAAGAAAAGAAAATAAAAAAGAGTAAAACTTGGGATTTGAGAGCTGACCCTAGAAGCAGAAGAAGAAATCAGAACTTGTCCAAGAATATAGTTGTATATGAACAACAATAATCTGTATGTCTTTATATAATGACAATGGCGAAGTGATATGAAAAATAATATGGTGTGAAACCAAAGAAAGCTTGCAACCAAAGAACTCAACAACCTAATATATAAGAAAAAATATGATCTTACACGATGAATATAGGTAATACGATTAATAATTACGAAATTAAAAAAAAAAGTTAATTAAGTTTTGATTTGTTGTGTGTATTTTGGACGGTGTTAGGTGAAAGTAACCCACGATAACTGATCACGTGGAGAGAATCGTGGAGAAGAAGAACTGAATCTGTTAGAGATTCTAAAATCATTACATGCCAACAACCCATCCATCTCATTGTTTCTGGATAGAGACTATTTATTTCCGTTTTATTTTGTGTTATAGTTTCATCGTATAACCAGACATAAAAAGTTTATAACAATTTGAGTTAATCACATATTTATATGAAATTATTTTAATTATCTTTTCTTTGTCTTAAAATCTCTACTTCAGGTTTCCATATTGATTTTTCTTTTAAAATATAAATACATTTTTATTTTTATATTAACAACTAAAATAAACCAACGCCGTATCATGTTTATTTGTATTTTTACGAAAATCTAAAAGACAACCAAAGTTATCATCACATATTATAATTACTTTTTTAAAGAAATAATTTTTAAAATATATTTTAAGTTTATTTCTGTGTTTATTTTATTTATGAGATATTAAAAAAGAAAGGATGAATAGAGGATTACGACAGATAGAAATGATGGGTTATGTGTGGATGTATATTTTAGTGTGACAATAAAAAATCACACCCAAACTAGAAAATCTTATTATATGTTATTAGCCACACATACACGATTGTCGGTACATACGTTATGATTTCGTTTGTTATACAGAAGCAAACTAATTAAATATATTATTTGTTGTATATTATATTGAAGTTATATTGTAGTAAAAAATTAAATAATAGTGTAATTGTGTTTTGTTCCTGAAATGTAAGTAGTTATTTTTCTTCTAATAGGGAAGTTTCTTGCTATTAACAGTTAGTTATCCTTTTCTTTTCTATTATAATTTAATTTCTTTATTTGGTAGCTTTAGTAAATTTTGTACTGTAATTCAAAACTATCGTTGTAGACAAACAATTTATATACACTAAATTAAGGAATTCATTATATATGGTATACATTATAGGTAATTTATTAAATATATTTAAATTAAAAAAACAAAAAATAATATGATTTTTTTTCATTTGATATATATATATATATATATATATATATATATATAT